TTTTTTTTTTTTTTTTTTGTGAACAATAGGACCTTATGGTCCTAGCTCCTTCTATTCTGGGGAGCGTCAGTCCGGTTCCTATTCAACCGTCAAGTCAAAACATGCACTACATTAAGGAACACACACGCTTCCTTCCGTCTGGCCGAAGGACCCCTGAGCAGCATTGATTGCTCCACCTCAGCGGAGGATTGACTGTCAGCTTGCCGTGCAACACTCTTCCTCTCAGACCTGGAGCCCAGATAATTCTATTCTTTCTAGAAGGATGCTGCCCCTTGTCAATCAATGTGATAATATCCACTTAGCCCTCCTGCTCCTGATTCACCGCCCTCTCTTTCCCTTCCACATCCCAGCCCCTAGGTCCCTAAATTTCTTTTCTCTTTCCCCTCGTGGAGTTCTCCCATTAATCCTGTACGCCTGCGCCTTCCACTCCTCGGTTCTGCTGGCAAGTCATTGCGTTCCCTGAGCCATTAGCTTTCTCATTTCCCTTGAGGTCTGCTAAACCCTAAACCCTCAAACCTGTCTTGACCGAGAGTAAAACTTAGGGTTCAACTCCCATGCTTTCATCATCCCTCTGCGTGTTTCCAGACCCCTACTACAACCCCCAATTATGGTGATCAGAGGCTGGCGTTTTTCCATCAAAGTTCTGGTTCAGGGGTGCCTTGCCCGTGCGCTGAGCTCTGCTGTCCAAAACTTCTTCCCGAACTGGAGTTGTGCCAATCCTTCCAACAGATGCGGTCGTCCTGCAACTCAGCAACTTTCCCACTTATCAACCAAATCCTACTGAAGTTCCTTCTAGTCTTGTTTTGCTGCTCTTGATCCTCCGACCAAGATAACTTTATCTTCCGCCATCTGCACAGAATCTCTGCCTGTATCATTACCTTCGTCTCCGTCCAGATCATCTCTCGTGCGTTGGAGACACCTTCAATCGTTCTGCTGCACCTTTCCTTCCATATGACCCGAAGGGTCACTTTCCTGATGATTCCATACCAAATCTTTTCCGCTTTCTGTTAGTTTGGGGATGTTGATCAGAAGGAGAAGTTGAATGGGGTGTTCAGGGAACGGGGTAGTGAAGAGGGAGTCCCGGAGGGTGGATGCTCTTGCCCAGTAGTCTGTCGCCTCCCTACAGTATATTAGGCAGTGTACTATGTCCTTTACTGCATTCTCCGTGCACATCTTGCATTGATCCGAGCTGTTATGCGGAATCTTTCCCTTTAACATGAAGCCATTGATTGACTGGTAGTGCTGCATAAATTATCAGCCATTAAAGGCTTCTGATTTTGACTGGTCTGATCATTTTGTATGTTTTCCACGGGATCTTCGTGATTTTGTCCGCTTCCTGTCCTAACAGCTTCTGCCATCTTGCCTTGATCACCGGTTCTGGGTCTTTTGTTTTAATCAGGAGTTTGTAACCCCTAATTTGACCGTGTAGTCTTGTATGGGGGTGAGCCTCGTAACGTTTGTCTCTTTATCTGGTTTCCACGCCCACTCCCTGGGGTCGAACTCCACGTTTTCTCTTTATCTGGTTTCCACGCCCACTCCCCGGGGTCGAACTTCATGTTTTGAATTGCCGTGTCAATTCTGAAAATAAACTTCGGCCATGTGCCCAACACTCTTACTTTTCTGAGCAGGAAGTGTTCCATGACTGTGGTTTCCTCGTTGACATTTGTAATCGACGGCATACCCTTCGTAGAGTGTGTAATCGGGAAGGACTTAAAAACCGCACTAGTGGCAGAACCTTGCTGTAGATGTGAGAATTGAAAAGCCCTAGAGGGATTGGTCTCTTGAATTTTAACCCCCCATTCACCACTTGTCCAGTCCCCGCCCTGTTGCAGCAGATCTCTCCACTCCTGGGGGACCAGATTGGTAATGTATTGCAGGTTGGGGCCTCTTTTTTGGCAGCCTTTTAGCCGTGTACTTAATTCCTGCTCCGATACCCATTCTTTCTTCTCGTCATTCCACAAGTGCCCGACTGTCCAAACCCCATTCTTCACCCAAGATAGCCACTTGTGGTCTAAGAACAATGGCTCATCATTCTTGGTCCTCAACCACTTGTTGCCGAAGGGCTGCCTCAACACCTCATCCTTGGATGGGTGACTTCACTGACTTGCATGTTTTTTAATTTTTTTTTCAATTTTTTGTTTTTTACTATTTCCTGCTCCCTTCTCTCTCAGGACTGGAGATTCTGGCTTGAAGGG